AGGTTCCTGCGACGTCGAAGGTCGGTCGCGCGCCGCGCCGGGCGTCGGGGACGCGGGGGGAACTCGCAGGGACGTCAGCGCCGTGAGCTGGCCGATCTCGGGCGGGATCGGGCCGGTGATCTTGTTGGAGTCGAGGTACCTGCGACGTCGAGGGCCGGTCGCGCGGCGCGCCGGGCGCCCGGGACGCGGGGGGAACTCGCAGGGACGTCAGCGCCGCGAGCAGGCCGATCTCGGGCGGGATCGGGCCGGTGATCTGGTTGGCGGTGAGGCTCCTGCGACGCCGAGGGTCGGTCGCGCGCCGCGTCGGGCGTCGGGGACGCGGAGGGAACTCGCAGCTTCGTCAGCGCCGTGAGCTGGCCGATCTCGGGCGGGATCGTGCCAGTGATCCCGTTGTCGAAGAAGCTCCTGCGACGCCGAGGGGCGGTCGCGCGCCGCGACGGGCGTCGGGGACGCGGGGGGAACTCGCAGCTCGATTGTGCTCGCGGGGTTGTAGCACTGGCCGAAGACGCCCACGGTGGAGCCGATCGGAGCGGTAGAGTCGTCGAGATCGCAGCAGTTCGTCGAGCCGCACGGCGCGACGAGGTCGGGATTGTCGGTCTTGGCGTAGCAAGACGTCAGGACGTCACAGAGGTCGCTCGGGAACGTGCCGGTGATGTCGTTGAAGCTGAGGTACCTGCGACGCCGAGGGTCGGTCGTGCGCCGCGCCGGGCGTCGGGGACGCGGGGGGAACTCGCAGGTACTCCAGCTTCGCGAGCTGGCCGATCTCGGTCGGGATCGGGCCGGTGATGTCGTTGTACTCGAGGATTCTGCGACGCCGAGGGTCGGTCGCGCGCCGCGTCGGGCGTCGGGGACGCGGGGGGAACTCGCAGGTACTGCAGCGCCGTGAGCTGGCCGATCTCGGGCGGGATCGGGCCGTCGATCTGGTTGTTTGCGAGGTCCCTGCGACGCCGAGAGACAGTCGCGCGGCGCGCCGGGCGTCGGGGACGCGGGGGGAACTCGCAGCAACGTCAGCGCCGTGAGCAGGCCGATCTCGGGCGGGATCGTGCCAGTGATCCCGTTGTTGAAGAAGCTCCTGCGACGCCGAGGGGCGGTCGCGCGCCGCGACGGGCGTCGGGGACGCGGGGGGAACTCGCAGAGACGTCGTCGTCGCGGGATCGTAGGACTGGCCGAAGATCGTGACCAAGGAGAGACGGCGACGCTGCGCGACGCCCTTGGCGTCGACCTTGGACGCTGCGTCGATCTCGCCTTCGAGGCGAAGGTGCTGCACGGCTCCCTTGGCCGTGGGGAGCTCGAACGACGATGACGCATGGAGCGCCGCGACGGCTGCCTCCGAGGCCGCGAGTTGCTCGCGCAGGTCCTCGTTCTCCAGCGCGGACTCCTTGGCTTGGGTCGCCGTCGCCGCAAGGCTCGCTTCGGCCGTCGCCGCGCGCAGGAGCTCCTCGAACTTCGACTGCGAGGCCGTCGACGGATTGAAGAGGCGCTTGACGAAGGCCTCCGCGGGCGACTCCGCCGACGTTCCCACGAGTTGCTCGCGCAGGAGCTCGCTCTCGATGTTGTCGTAGAGGCGCGTCGGGCTTTTGATGCGTATCAGCAGCTCGCGTAGGCCGTCGCTCCCCCCCCGCGGTTCATCGATGCGTAGCGGCTCGAGCGACGACCTGTTTCGAATCTTCAACGTCACTTCAACGTCACTTCAACGTGAGCGACTCGGCGGTTTCCGCGTTCTTCTGCCTCCGTGGAGCACTCGACAAGGGGAAACGCTCGTCCGAAAATCAGCCGAATCGACTTTGGTGTTGAAGTTTGGTTGAAGGCACTTTGTTTTCGACACAAACAGCTGCTCATCTTGCCCGGCGAACCCGGGTCCCGGCTTGCGCGTGCGCGGGCGCGTGGCGTCGTAGACGCGCTGCGCCTCGGCGGTAACGATCAGAAGCGTACAGAAGGCCTTGCGCCAGTCCTTGCGCCAGTTCATGGTTCACTTTGCCTGCGGCGGCGCGATGTCGACGAAGCGGCTCGAGACGATCGACGTCGTCGCCGATGTCGCGAGCGCGCGCGCCCGTCGCTTTCGGGGGGGGGTCCGAGGCGCGCGCACGCCGCTCCAGGTATGTAAGTCGCGTTTTGGCGGGTACGCGTGGGCGGGCGCGCGTCAGGGGGCTTTTGCGCACGACTTTGCGACCTCAACGGCGTCTTCGAGCGCCTTCGATGCGCTCAACACTTTCGGCGCCATCCCCCGAGGCGCGCGTCGGGCGATGGACTCCGAGGGGGGCGGGCGACGCGAAGCAACGCTAAAACGGCGCGAGAGCGCGCACAAAGCCCGCGCCGCGGCGCGCGAGACGGCGATGGCGGAGTCGGAGGAGATGTTTGAGCGCTCGCGGCGAGCAGGTTCAAAGCACGAGCTGCCGATCTGGCCGGGGGTCGGTGAGGCCGGACAGCGACTCGCGAACCTCGATTCGCTCTAAACCTTCGGCGCCGCCCCCTGAGGCGCGCGTCGGGCGATGCACTGTGAGGGGGGCGGGCGACCGGAACAACCCCCAAAACGGCGCGAGAGCGCGCGCGAAGCCCGCGCGCTAGAGCAGCTGCACGCGCGTCACCTTGATTATCTCGAAAGGGGAGTTTGCCCTCAAGTGTCACAAAATTAGAGGAGGTCGTTCCTAGACTCGTCGCCCTCGCGCCGCTTCTTGACCCAGGCGCGGAAGTTCCGGTCGTACTCCGCGGTGCCGTGGACCTCGTGGCTCTTGTCGACGAGCTTCGTCGCCGCGGACTTGACGACGTCCCAGAACGACGGCGGCGGCGCCGCGGGCCCCGGCGCGGGCGCGGGCGCCGGCTCGGTGAGGAGCGAGGGCGCGTGGAGCGCGTGCTTCGCGGTCTGGCCCCAGCCCTCGAGCTCGACGTGGTCGCCCGCGTGCGCGAAGTCCCGCACGTGCTCGAGCAGTTTCGCCTCAGCCGCGGCGTGA